CGCGCGCGCCCCCCACCCCCCCGTTTTCCTCCCGTTTTATTTCTTTATTTTTTGGTTGCTTTTTAGAATCTCGTTCGTTTTTTTTTTCTTTGCTTTTTTTTCTTTTTTGTGTTTTGTGTTTTTTGGAAAGAAGATAGTCCCACTACCGGTAGCTCTAGGCTCGGCAAGGCTCCGACTTGATAGCTGGGCCAAGTACTGGTGGTTTAACCTTTTTTCTGCTGGGTGAAGCACAAACTGGCCCACTTGAGTTTCACAGCCGAAGACTAGCGATGGAAGGATGTCTTCACTGTCCTAAAACCGATCATAAAGCTACCGATCTGCACAATGCAGGTACCCTCTTTTTTTTTTTTCCTGTCTCTCCTCCAGTCTCCCTTACAATACTTATTACTTATTTAGTTATTTATCTCTATCTCTATACAACTAAAGGAAGCAAAGGGCCCGGCGACATGCCCAGTCGCGGGCCCAGTGAAATTTGTGGGAGCAGGCGTGAGGAGGAGAGGCCCACGAAGTTAGAAGCGCACGAAATTCCATGCGCGCGGCGGGAACCGGGCAGTGAGACCACTTTGGGGGTGAGGCCGAGGCGGAGAGGCCCACGAAGTTAGAGGCGCACGAAATTCCAAGCGCGCGTCGGAAAACCGAAGCACCGCAGGGGATAGTGGGGGCGAGGCGGGCCCAGGCGCGGGTGGGAACAGGTGAGCGAAAATGCAAGCGGCGCGTTGCAAGGGCAGGTGCATGCAGGTGACGGTTGGGAGGGGGGTCAGGCCGACGCGCGGAGCTCGAAACGAAGTGGGCCGTGGCAGGGCTCTACGTTGGGAGGTCGACGGAGTCCAAGGTCGAGCATACCGCGGACCAAGAAGTGGGACGGGTCAAGCGCCATGCGGGACGTGAACGCCGACGGAGCGGAACCTGGCCGCGGACAGGAGGCGGGTGCCGACCATGCCGACAATGTGCGTGGGGGGGGGGGGGCGCGCGACACCGTGGGCGCACATCGATGCACGGGCATGGCGAACACAGCAATGAAGGGGGGTGAGGAAGGAAGAGGCGAACACAAGGGAAAGACACGTGTATTGACTTTTGTGACGTCTCTCTCTCTCTCTCTCTCTCTCTCTCTCTCTCTCTCTCTCTCTCTCTCTCT